CTCGGAGAAGGACTGAGAGGCTATCTTAGTCGGAACATGATCGAATGGCCTGTTTAGGCAGTTCGCTCGGGTACACTGACAGATTGAAGATGCGGCTACCCAGCTTGGGCAGACTACGAATGAGGCCTGCCTCTTTTCGGCCATTATTCCGAAGCCACGCCGATTCAGCGTCCGGTGAAGCTTCCAAAGTGCCGACAGTCGCGCCATTTCTGCTGTCTTTACCACCCTGACGGAGAGGCTGATACAGCGACCACAGCGACCGCTGTCCTGTCTATCATTATCAATGAAGGACTCTTTTCGCGACTTCACACAGGTCCAGCAAATTCATGGTAACAGCCATGCTACGACTCCGATCAACATATTGTCCGCCCCCTTTTCTTCTCAACTTGGTCTCCGTTCATTCCGAGGATCCCTTCTTGATGCCTCGTACTTCAGCAAGTCGCCGTCCGTTTCGAGGCACTCAGTCTCATCAGCTTCATCTCAAGGGCCTTCAGAAGGCCAAAATGTGTCAAGTTGTCCCGACTTCATTCGCGAACGTGACGGCGCGTAACCTGGCAGTGCCTCGAGCGTTTCAGTTCGCTTGACATTGTCAATCATCTCTCAAGTGACAAGATGGATCATTTACCCTGGTCCCGAATCCTCGGGATTGGCTTTGATCTCATGGGGCCACGTCAAGAACTGCCGCTCGTCGCATCCCACATGGCAAGTTGCGGCTCACGAGGCTTCAAACCTGCACAAAATGTGTACGGAACGGCACCGGCGGTGAGGCGTTCTTCTACTCGAGCCATCTCAAAAGCCATTCCAGCTGGATGTGTTTCAGATCTATAGAGCGGTCTGCCAAGCCATCTCCTGGTCATAGCCACGCTTTGCAGGTGCCAAAAGTCGTTGCTAAGGAGGATGCCGTCGCCGCCACCACATCCGTGTGTTTTCTCTTGTTGTCTTTTTTTATCTTCCGCGAGCCGGTCCCCGAGCGCCTATTGTTTACCACGTCGATCATAATGCCACACTCGCTGGCGTCGTGGCTCTCTTCTACCTCGGATCTCAGAAGCCTCGAACCAATCGTTCAGGGTCGACCGTCTCTCCCGTGCGGCTCTTTACGCCTCACTCCTTCATCTCAAGTTTAGACGAGAATTCGATGCTAGTTCATCTTGATTTTCCTGTACCACGTTGTTGCTCCACTCAACGCCCCTGATTTCTCAGCTCGTCACAGCAACAAGCCTACGACTCAACTCTGAGCCGCTACGGAGACCCTTACTCGAAAGAGTTATTACGGAGTCCAAGATACGCTATTCGATCAGCTCCATTACTTTGTTCTTATTCATCCTGCGATCAACCAGTCAAGCACGGTTCTGGGGTGGTGCCAAACCACTTAAGCATGAATTACATTCTGTTGCCCCCGCAGAAAGGGCCGCAGTGGATTCACGAGTCAGGGATGGTCTGCGACGGGGGGGAACCCTTCTTGCAGACAACACCTAAGAATACGAGTAGCTGAACGTTAGCGGCCTCGGTAATGCGACGCCGTGACCAGTCTCCACCATGGGGATGAAAAAAGATTGAGGCGTCCGAGGTTTGCCGGTCGGTATTGACCACGCCCAATTTCCTCTCCCGCATCTTCGACATCACTGTAATCAGACGACCAATCAACATCCGTCGCCTCAACTTCAGGTCGTGATATTGGTGGACTGCGTACGCTCTGTGTGTATTGAGACCACTCATCGCGACTGAGGCCGGGAATGCTCGCACGCCTTGGTCTCGTAGGGCTTGTGGCCACCTGTGCCTCAGGGGCCTATGTGCAATGGCAGGGCTGTAATGCTCCTTCAAGCAAGACAGACGTCTTCGTTCCCCAGAGTCTGAGAGCCACTTTGGAGCCGTCAGACGATGGACGCCAGAACCAGTTGACCCTCCAGGTCGGGAGATGGGTGGAAGAAGCGGAATGCCAGGATCTGGCTCGAAGGATGCCCTATGCAACACTGGAGTTCGCAATGCTAGGCCGTTCTGCTGCGTATCAAACCACAACCAAGACAACATGTGAAAAGCTCAACTTTTCCAAGAATTGGCGCTCGTCACTGGTCAACCCCTTCAGCCTTCATTTGTCTATTTCGGAAGATATCGGCTATCTGCCACCATTGTCAACATTCCATACGACTTTGCACCTCGAGGGAAATGACTCGGAGGAAATCAGCTGTCGTCAAGCAAATATCACTCCAGCACTAAGTTCAACCGTCACCGCAATCGTCATTTACTCGACATGGGCCATCTTTCTCTTTGTGCTCCTTGTCGGTATTCTACGCTCTACCTACAGCACACCGATCGCGCTGGACGATGAGGATGACGAAGAGCAACGCTCGATACGGACTGTCCTACCGAACGTTGGGGATTGTCTCCAGTACCTTCAGTTCATCTTCTTGACTGGCGGGCTCAGTTTGCGGTATCCTGGATTCTACCAGCCGGTAGTCAGTCACCTCAACTTGTTTTCCCTCTTTGTGAACGGCCCAGTCACCCACGGCGTGGTGTATGATAGGGTTGAAGACGGCATCTACGTATTGAATGGCACATACGGCGGCACGTATGGTCTGGAACTCATGACCCAGATCGCGGGTGCACCAATGACCATGGACACTTGGTTGAACATGGTCGTTCTCATGTTCATCATCGCCTTTGGTGTCGCTTTGATCCTTGAGGTCGTCTGGTTCATGAAGCGAAGTCATGACTCTGACAGCGAGTTTTCACGGTCGGCCGGCGGCATGAGATACACGGCTAGTCGTGTCTTGCGTGGTATCTTGTCGTATTCCATGTTTCCGCTTGCAGCTTTGTCTTTCTATCAGCTCGATAACGCCTCGATCCTCCCCGCATACCATACATCAATGGCTGTCGCACTAATTCTTGCCATGATGGCCGCTTTTATTTGGCTTATCCGGAAGATTCCTACGCGCAGCCTAGGCGTCCTAGTTTTCGACAGCACGAAGCGTTATCGACAACTCCGTGCCGTGGATGATGCCCGTCGCCGGGATGGAACTTTCATTTTTGTCTTGTTCGCCCTCACGTTTGTCCGCGGCGCCGCCGTCGGTGGCCTGCAGATTTCCGGGCCGGCTCAGTTGGCCGTCCTCGGTGCCTGCGAGCTCGTGCTCTTGGCTAGCATTGCCGGGTTTCAAGCATACTCGACATTTTCCATTGGCAGCATTGCGGCGACCATTCGGCTTTGCAGCCTGATTTTCCTGGTTGCATTCCTTCCCGGACTTGCGACACCGATCAGCGTCAAAAGTGCTATCGGATATCTTCTTATAGCTGTTCATGGCGGCATGCTTCTACTTGGCTTCTTCGTTCCTGCTCTCTGTGAGCTGTCGAAACTTCTCAAGGGCTGGTGGACAGCACCGCGACCAGAGGTTAGCTTCGGATTCCAAATGTTTGATTACTCTTCTAACACGTATTCTGCAGGTATATGGCCTCCGCCAGCTCCGTCGACGCGAGGTGTCAAGAACCAATCTCGCCTCCATGTATACTTCCAGCACGCCAGACACATCGTACCCTGAGCCGAACGCCGTTGAGTCGCCTAACGCCGGCTACCTTCGGCCAACGTATCGGTCGGATAGTCCCAGCACTATGCGCCTGGATTCATCAACTACCTCAAGTCGATACTTCCGGCCACCGCGGTCCAGTGCGTCTATCTCGTCAGTTGAGAACCCGCGTAGTCTCGGCTCCTCCTTGTACACTACCTCTACGCCTTCAAGAACGACATCGACTTCTACCACATTAGTAGACAAGCACTCTGTTCAGCGATCCGAGTCAATCATGTCTCCCAGCCGGTTGTCCGAGTCAACCGAGGAGTCCAGTTCGACATCCCAGAGGTCACCCACCAGGCCCAGCGATGGGCCTCTCGGGCCACGTTGGAACGACTATTCTTTCCGTGAAGCAGATCTCTACTACAACGTACCTCGCCCGCTAGAAAGGGCGTCAGAGGAGTCGCCCAGGCCACCGGCTCCGCGGCCCTCCTTGCGGTCTTCGTCCGGACTATGGGCAAGGGTAACTGGCCAATCTGGCACGGGGGAGCAGGGTTTCCAGGTTGTCCGACCTCGACCGGCCTCGGAACAGGGCTTCGTAGTTGTTCGACCAAACAGGCCGAGTAATCTCGGCAACGATGCTTCGGGAAGTGCGCCCAGGGTGCCGCAATGATTTGCTCTGGTCTACAATCACTTTGGTGACGAGGAGTTCCCTGGGAATGTCACATGTTGAATCATTTGATCTATGTTCGCATCATTGTAAATAAAAAAGTTAACAGCATAATGCGGCGTTGGGGGTGCATTGCTTTCTGGGCTATCATTCATGGCTTATTCGATTGCTCGGCTACATCAATTTATTCAGGACAGAATTTCCAGTAAAACTTTGGACACTTTCTTCCACGAGATCAAGAGCATATAAAAAACACATGCACCTAGTCACGCTCTACTATAAAAGTCATCCCATCTCAACTGGACAATGATTTCCCCCACGGAACTTTGTTCCTCAGCGGGCAGTTGCCTAATCCGATCCGGTGGGTCCTGTAGAGCGCCATATGATTGGCCAAGGCGACCCTAGCGAAACCACGACGACATGCCCGCATCTCGAGTTGATGTAGAGCTACATATCAACAACATTTTGGACGCTACCTCTGGTCGGATTCCTAACGTCAAATCATCACGATCAAGACCTCATTATGAGAAAACTCAAAGAGGCCTGATGCCTAGGATGTCACGTGAGCTGACTCCAACTGCTGCCTGAAGACCACTGAAATGTGATCCCGACTTTTCTGCATAAAAGCTGCCCTGGGTCCGTATTACCAAGAAGACGGAAACTTCACAATATTTGCTCTCTATTCTTCTTTACCTGAGGAGCACTCAATATAATCAAAGCTTTGTACAGTCGCTTTCCTGTGTACGCATCCCTGATATCCCTTGATCCCTCTTCGGGTCACCAACTCTAGTCACCATCACCAACACTTCAAGAACACACAACGGCAAACAAAAATGCTGTCTTCTACGCGCCTCATCTCCAACATCCCAAACACAGTATCCTTCTTAGCAGAGGCGCGCGCAGGCTTCACCGCAGACTTGGCCTCCCCGCCGTCCACCCTCAAAGAACAACAAGAACTCTTGACTTCGATTCAGAGTTTTGCGTTTCAATTCCTCAAAGCTGCGGCTCACGCCTCCCACTCACACCAGGCATCTGCTCAGACGGACCACGGTCCAAGCGGAGAGCAAGATGAAAGTGATCATCATGTGGTAAAGGCAAACACAGATCCAGAAGCAAAGACAGATGATCTCGCCCAGCAAGGTCTCGTCATCCTTTGGGGAATGTTCACGTCCACAGCGCAGGTAATCGACGCAGACGACGCGTTTCAGGATCGTCTTGTAGGTTTACTCGTGTGGACGAGGGAGTTTGACGGGGCTTATAGACGGCTTCACGGCCTCGTCGTGGGCGGTGCTGATGCCGGCGGTGGTGGTTGGGAGTCATATGGATTCGGGCAAAGTCTACAGCTCGCGTGGGAGCAGCTTGTCGTAGACTTGCCGAGCGCGGTGGCGACGCAGAAAAGTCGGAACCTTGCGGCGTTTTCAGCCAAGGTGTTGGCGATGGGGTTGTGCAAGGAGTTCATTGCTGGGACTGCGTTCTGGGTTTTTGAGAGGGCTTTGGGCGGGGACAGGGATAGGGATGAGATTGTATCGAGGGAGTTAGTACCTGCGGCCGTAGTGTGGTTGAAGCACGCTTCACATGCCCTCCTCGCGCGTTGCTGTTCCTCTCCCGCGGCAGGTGGGCTTGATATCATCACTAATACGGCAACGGATCCGATCTCGCGGGCCGATGCTCCTTCAACGGACCAAACCACCGCAGAAACTCAATACGGTGAGCTCAGCATGTCCCAATGGCTGCGATGGCGACGCCGTCTCCAGGAGCTGAGTCACGATGCCGATGCCGATGTGGCGAGGTTGGCGAAGAAGGGGTTCATGAGTATGATTTTCTGTGGGAGGGATTTGGGGGTTGATGTGGAGGGGGAAGCGAGGTTTGCGGAGAGGTTGCAGGGGGTTATGTATCGGGAGCTTGTGAGGAGTGGAAAGGAGGTTGTAGAGGGGGATGAGGTTGAAATTGAGGTTGATTGGGTTGATTGAGTTCTCTGGGCTCTTGGGTTTGAGGGGTGATGTTGGGGAGCGAATTGTGGCGGTGGTCGGTTATTGAATGAGTGTACTCTGGTGCTCGTATGCGAATGTTGAGATGTTTTATGTGCCCTAATGCTTTGACCTGATAATGACGAATGTCCCATTTTGGGGATGAATCTTGCTGCTTCATCATTATAGTTCATGATGATTCTATTTGGAATTAACCCAAACAGTTACCTACAGTAGCTATCAAAATCTCTGGTCGTAAAATGTATGCTGATCTAACACGTCTGGTATATATTCACAGCCCCTTGAGTTTACTGCAAAACGAGATACTCTTTTGTACAGATACTCCAGAGATTACATTCAAGAAAGAGAATTCTACTTTGACACGATAAAGGCCACCAATAAATAGATACAAGATTGAAAATCGGTGTTTATCAACATTCGTAGTGTGATCGACAGGCTTAAGATTCTATTCTCCATTTAGTCATCTTCAAATGTCGTCTACTCAGTTTTTGTGTTTACTTTGCTTCAGCTCATGAAAGATATTTCGAGAAACGAAGCTCTTCTAGCACACTAGTGAAGCAAATGGGTGATCAAGGTGTGTATAAGAAATAGGAATTCTTCGTTGCTTTACTCAAAGCCGCTGGTTAGCATGACACTGCACTACGCCCGTTTATAAGAGGTCCCTGTTAAATTCACCAGGTGTTGTCGATGATACTAGCAACGTTGACATCCAAAAAGAAAATGAGAAATCGTCGACGCGTACAAAAGGGTCATGTCCGTGGCATATTACTATAAGTAGGTACACATTATACATTCAGAGGTTTAGTGGCGTTTGAGCGACCTTGATCTTGCGCGAGGTACTATTCTCAGCAAGTCAGCTGCTCTTGCACATGCGTCCATTATTGTCCACAGTCCAAGCCTCGCTACCGACAGCGGCCACGTTATACAGCAGACCCTTGGGGTCGTACTTGTTCTTGATGCCCAGCAGCGCCTCGTAGTTCACGCCGTAAAACGTCTCCTGCCAATCCTTCTGCTGGAAATCGGCCTCGTTGATGTACGCGCCCGCGCCGGGCGTAGCCGCCTCGATGACGGGCTGCACGACCTCGGTCATGCGCGTCTGCTCGGCCACCATGTCCTCAAAGGGCACCTCGAAGCTCCAGGGGAGGGTCAGGGAGACCTGGACGATGGAGTCGCGCCACTGGGGCAGGACGGCGTTGAACTTTGCGCTCTCGTCGGCGCCGTCGTGGCCAAAGTGCGAGACGTTGAGGCCGACGCCGATGTAGGTGACGCCCAGCTCGACCAGCTGCCGCGCGGTGGGGCCGAAGTCGGGGAGGACGGCACGGGGCAGGAGACGGCCGCCGAAGAGCTGGGTGCCGACTTGGATGTTGCCGGAGGGGAGGGGGCCCCAGTAGTTGTTGTAGTGGTCGCGGTAGCTGTCGAAGGAGGTGAGGTTCGGCTGGAGGGTGATGTTGAGCTGGGCGAGGGAGTCGGTGAAGGGCTGGAGGATCTGCTCGACCTCGGCCTGGGTCTTGTTGTAGGCCGTCATGGCCGGGGACTGGAGGAAGCCCGGGCCGAAGAAGTAGATGATCATGACGCCCGAGTCGATGATGGCCGGGAGGGCGGCGTGGAAGGCGTCAATGACTTGGTACAGCGTCTCGTTGTCGGCGACGGTGACGGCGAACTTGGCGCCGCTGACGGGGGCGTCGGGGTGGGCTCGGGTGGTGATGGAGGTGACGACGCCGTAGTTGCCGCCGCCGCCTCCGCTCAGCGCCCAGTACAGATCTTCATTCTCTGCTCTCGAGGCAGTGAGGAGCTCTCCCGTGGGGGTGACGACCTCAAAGGAGAGGGTGTTGTCGGCGGCCAAGCCGTAGATGGTGCTCAGGGCAGAATGGCCGCCGGCTTGAACATAGCCTCCGGCAATGCCAACGGTAGGACACTCTCCCGTGACGACGGCAAGCCCAGCTTCGTTAGCGGCGGCGATGGCCTCGAAGCCTTGCACGCCCGCGCCGGCCTTGAGGGCCTTGCCGGCGTAATGCTCGTCCTCCCAATCCACGATCTCGGTTCCCTTGAGGTAGTGGGTCCAGATGGCCAGGGCACCCGCACCGGTCGACCGGCCGTTATAGTCGTGACCCGTGTTGCGGATGATGAAACGCACATTCTTTTCATCCGCAAACTTGAGCGCAGCCTGGACGTCCGCGGGCCCAGAGGCGTTCACTGCGTAGCTAACATAGTTACCCAAGGTGCAAGGGACGTCTTGCGCCGTGAAAGGGTCGCAGCTGGCGTTGGCGAACAGGGGGGCCATGACCGAGGAGGAGGACTCCATGCTGCGAAGTTGGACGCGAGTCATTAGTCCTTGTCCATGATATCTCTCACACGCGCGGGACGCGGGTTTGGGTCACGCAACTCCCCTAAGAGGGAGGTGTGACTTGCAAACTGAATTTGAGCCGGAGGGAGGAAGAAAGCAAACGAGAAAGACTACGAGGTAAAAGAGACAGAGCGAGGATAGAAGACTCACTGGACTTCCGAATAGAGCCACGCCTCCTGCAGACGAGCGCACTCAGTCGCGTTGTAAGCATCGCCGTGACATGCGCTTCCCAGCGGGACGGTAGCGACCAGACGTCCCCCAACGGTCTCGTTGAGCTGCGCCCAGGTGTTCGCAGAGGGCCATCCCTCGTCTCCGGGAAGATACTTGCACGAAGGCGCCGTCGTCGTCGAGTTTGTCGAGGAGCCGCCCAGGCCCGAGCACCTGGCGGCGACGGAAGCGCTTCCGCCGGCCAGGACCAAGGAAGCGAGGATCGAGACGCGCATCTTGGCAAATGGGGGTAAGGTTATTTCGAGAGAGGAACGTGCTTTCTCTAGGCTAGGCTCTTAGCTTCCCTCGCAGATCGCTGCACAGTCCGAGCAGTAAAAAACTCAGAAAAGGAGGCGGAGGAAGGACGATGTCGCGAGAGCGAAAAGGCGGAGAGGGGGTGAGAGGGGGCCAAAAGAGACACAAAACCACTTTGGAAAAGTTTCACACGAGGCAGAGATGCTCTGATATTGTATATGCGACGCTGCCCAAAGTGGACTCTTTCTTCCCTTTACTAAATTGCCTCAATCTGTATTGCCGTCTTGTCCACTGGGTGAAAATACAAGAGAGCGCAAGATTCCCACTCAATGACCAGCACTTTCTGCGCGGTTTTGCACAATTCTGGACATGATCTCCGGGGTGGTCGTCGGGGTAAACCGCTGCGCCCCCCCGCAAGCCGGTGCCGTCTGCCGTTGGTCGGCTCATTTTTGCTGGCGATTCGTACCTTGCATCCTCAATATGCAGGCGGGCCAGCTGTTGGAACCAACAACAAATTGCGGGCATACGCAGTAAAGCCGGGGCACCACGGATACCATATACCAAGATGTGTGAAATCTCTGTCCCTCGGTCCGCCTAATCCTCGGTAAACCAGTCGAATGGAGAAATCCAAAAGCCGTGTTTCCGCTGCGAACCCTTGAACCAACGGTGTAAACCCGCACTTCTTCATCTTGGCGGTGGGAACCGCGCGCCGGGGGTGGTTTATAGTATTGAAGGTGAACGGGCAAGGGTCGCGGCGCGGGGGACCCACATCCGGGGGGTGGTCCGGCCTCCCGATTTGTCTCGCCGGGCTCGCCGCATCTCGGCACCCCTGCCCGCGCTTGACTCGTGAACGCCTGGGCGGGACGGACCTGGGTTCATCCGCGAAACCTTAATCTCGAAGAACCGGGGTTTCTACAGGTTGGAAGCCTCTGTAAAGATCAGATATCACAAAAGGCGGCCCTGTCGTTCATTTCGTTTTTTATGCCCTGTCGGTGCTTACGAACCCCAGCTTCCTAGGGTGCTTTATTTTCTTCCCTCCCTCTCTGGTCGTATCGTCGTATGTGCAATGGATAGTAGGGCGGGAACACGGGCTTTCTTGGGGAACCGATTTGATCGATCATCGATCAGATGTTCCGTCCACTGGCCCAGGCCTTGCGCGGGCCAGGAAAAGCGAGGCATAAGTTTGATGATAGACGAGCGTGAGGGATACGAGCAGTGTCTTGGATGGTGTGTTTTGCATAGTCTCGCAACATTGCGAGGGTCTCACAAACACAAGATCTTGTGGGAGACAGGCCTGGGAGGCGAGTGATAACCAGGTAGGGATGACCGCCCCCTCGAGAGTCGAGACACAGATCCAGACAAGGTGTGATTTGTAGTTTCTGTCTCTACGAGTGAGACACAACGCGCGCCGTTCGGCGAGCTCTTTGGAATTCGGAGCCATATCTCCAGGAACAAAGCCATATTCCAACAAGCCATCGCCGACGCTAAACTATGTCACACCCTGCAATAACGTCAGGACTCAGCGACTTGTCGTCCCCGCATGGTGGCCACGAGCTTAAGCTTCTGCCTTCGCCGACTAGTGACTACGCATGCGGCAAATGGGCACACACAGTCCACCATTAAAACAACGCTGCTGCATCCTTCCCGCCCGGCTGGGTGTTCCCTTTGATCTTCGTAGGCGCCGCGCCGGTGAGCCTAGCGTATCCTTACAAAGTAAGGTACGGGTTAGACACAGAGAAGGGAACTGGGGGAAATGAATAATCTTCAATTACCGCCCCGGCACATGTGGAGAATTTTGGAAAGCCCGAATCTCTCTTCAGCAAGCCACTCGCGCAATTTCGACGCCTCACACATGCAGTGCCGCAGCCGCAACGAAATGTGATGCAGCAAGGGTCTGCCACACCACTGGGTTCGGAGACGGGCTTTTATGAGTACGTGGAGAAAGAAGAAGAAGGGCAGCAGCAGAAAAATGGACTTGACCTTCTCTTACTAGTGCGAGTATACCTGGTGCGGGCTGTCCTATACTAGTCTTTAAGGTCAGCGGTCCCAGATTTTGTTAATTCGTCGTCCCCCGTCCTCCCTTCTACTGGGCTGTTTCCTTGCCGTCGACAACCGAACCTCCTGGACCCAATCATGACTGGCTGGACGTACAATACGCCTGACGATGTACCGACCGATGGACCGCGAATAACGGCAGTTTGCCTGACCTTTACCATCATTGCGCTCTTGTTGGTGTGTTTGCGGTGGTATGTTCGGACGACGCTGGTCAAGGCTGTTGGCTACGGTATGTGGGATCGGACTCGGAGGATGCCAGGCAGGGGTCTATCGCGCAGAGCAAAGACTAACAAAGCGAATCTCTAGATGACTGGGTGATCGTCGTCTCCTGGGTAAGTTAACGCCGAACTCTCTTCTCATTTTTGCCTGTCTCTTGAGTACTAATAAAATTTTGCAGCTCGGAGCTTGCGGCTACACTGTCTGCAGTGTAATTCGTAGGGAATCCCCTTCATCAAGTCGAATCCGAAAGATTCGAGTCTAACAGGAATGCAGAGACAAAATGGGGCTTGGGAATCACCAGACTTGAGGACATGCCTCCGCAAAACGTGCTTCCTTTTGGCAAGGTAAGGGGACTTATAAGCCAAAGAATCTACTCAGCATTGGCTGACTGTCATTCCAATAGCTTCAATTCATTGGCGGTCCATTGTAAGTATTTTGCAGCGCGCACAGTCAACTACAACAAAATAATACGGGCTAAGCTGACAATGCGCATCAGCTACGTCCTCGGCATCTGGGGCTTCAAAATGAGCCTGCTCTTCTCCTATCTGCGATTCTTCCCGGCCGGCGGCTACAAAATTGGCACCATCATCGTAGCGGTAGCCTGTACGATGGGACACATTGCCTTCATGTGCGTCTTCATCTTCCTGTGCACACCGGTACGTCTTTCTCGACATCCACCCCTTCTGCCGAGGTTATGTGTCGACTAACACATGGCAACACGCGACCAGATCGAGAAGCAGTACGATCCATCTATCCCAGCAGACGTAGGCCACTGCGTAGACGCAATCACATTCTACCTAACTTTCTCATCCCTGACCATCGTATTCGACGTCATCATGTAAGTCCCGCATCCCCATCATGGACCCCTTATGTATACGGTATCACTACCTCCCAAGACCCCGTCACTGATGACAGACCGTGGAAAAAACAGAATGTTCCTCCCCTTCCCCGTAATCCTCAAATCCCAAATCCAAAAACGCAAAAAGATCGTCCTCCTAGCCCTCTTCATCCTCGGCATCTTCGTCACAATCATCCAAGCCATCCGGATCCAGACCATAAAAAACCTCGTAAACTACCTCGACTCGGCCAAATCGATCCAGTGGTCCGTCGTCGAGACCTGCATCGGCATCATCATCTCCTGCGTCCCGACGCTGGCGCCCATGGTCAAGTACTTTGCCGAGCGGAGCCGCAACGCGGGCGGCAGCACCACCGGCGGCGGCGGTGCCTCGAGGCCCAAGAGTTCAAAGTACGCGCTGCAGACGTGGGGGACGAGGAGGAGCGGGATGCAGCCGCTGGGCACGGGGATCGATAACCGGGACGCGGACGGGACGTCTGTGAGCGGCGGGAGTCTGACGACGAAGCCGGAGGATAGTACGGAGAACATACTCGATCCGGGCGGCGTTGTGTCCAAGGGGAGGACGCTGCATGCCGCGACGCCGAGTGAGCCCGAGTCGTGGACGGATCCGACGGATAAGGAGAGGAAGCAGGATGTTTGAGGTGAGCATGCGAGGGAAGAGGATTGGAAGGAGATTCTAAGGCATTTTGCACATGATACCATTTTGAGATTCAAACAATTCAAAGCGAACTAGCAAGCGTGTTGTCTAGCATTATTTTGAGTACCATAGAGAAATCAAAGGGAACATAACCCTTCTTGCAAGAAACGGTTATCGGTGACCAAGATGTCCTTTGCAAGCTCTCAGGTTTCGACGTGTTTCGTTTACCTAATTTCTCATGATTTGAACATAACAAGCAACTCCAATCAAACCATACCATCGAAAGGAAAGAAAGCATGCCGGTTCCGCTTATGCCCCCGGTCACCGCTTGATCCGCATACGGGGAACAGGCCTTGATCTGTTCCGTTGCAACCATATCGTGATGCTCTCGATTTTATGCGGCGACACACACATCATGAGGTAGCATGTGTCATTGACCACCCGTACCTTGGGAAACCCAAAGATTCAAGTCCTTGCTTTGTGAAGTATCGTCCCGAGAACAAAAGTCAATTTGATATGCCTATCAGTTGCGGAGTCTTTGACCTCGCGTCATTTAGGTGGACAGGACCTGTAGAAGATAATGATAGATAGGTACTATTATAGAAAGAACGTAGTTGGAATAACTAACATGCTTAACAACAACTCCTCAAGAGAGGTCACAGAGGAACAATGCTTGAAACATATTCTTCTTCAAAGCTTACTAAGATAGACTCAGACTATTAACGCAGTAAAGATTTGCAGAAACTCAAAAAGTCGATTTATCCAGAGTCTTCACTCCTTCTATGCCTTATCTAGATAAACATGACTTACTAAAGCATCACTTGAGGAGTTCGCCATAGTATCGAATGTTCTGTTTTCCACCTACTCCATGATGCTGTCACCAAAAGCCCCCTTGGTGCTCTTGCAAAACCTGCAGCCCGTTATGTCCCGTCACTGCCATCAATCACATCATCAGACCTGCAAAACTTTTACCATGGAAGGGCTGTGACATAAGCAATAGATGAGTAACGACTTGCATCCATATGTCCGCATTACTGCACGAGAATTAGCTGACGAAGAAGATAGTACGGATGGCGTCCTCTGGTACATCATTGTCAATATCCTACTAATAGACATCTCGACATCAAGTATAAGGGCCTATGCGGTACTATTCTTGAAAAGTCTAGTAGTTAATTATATGTCATGATGTAGAGTCTCTCTTAGTAAGGTAGATA